GCAGCGTGGCACCTCAGGACTAATTGGTTCAGAGGCATAAGCTTTTGTAGGCAGCAGCCTACTTTATCAGATGGTATGCATGGGCTTTCTGCACATCCATTCTGCGAGTACTTCTGATTAAGTAGGCTTTTGCCTATGAAAGTTCATGCCTTTCTAAACCAGTTAGTCTCTAAGTTGCCACCCTGCTTTGCCTTCTGCCTGACTTGAGGCTAACACAGCTAACCATCTCTCTTTTGTTGGAGCAATAACACTAACAGACATGGAGATGCTTTGTATAAATGCATTAATGCTGTATGTTGACTTGGAAGTAGGGATGTTTATTGAATGATTATACTGGGGTATTTATTATGGCAGTAAGGTTGCTTACAGACATTTAAAAAAATCCCCCAAAACCCCCATGCTTTACCAGAAGCAGTAGCATGTTAGTTCAATCTGGCTCCACAACATCTGTATAGATCAAGCACTTCAGTGGGGCTTTTTGGCACTTTTATTTAAAGCTGATTCAGTCAGCTATTAGACAAAAGTGCCAAAAAGCCCCACAAAAGCACCCAGTCTATACAGATGTTGGGAGAGCCAGGTCCAACTAACATGATGCTTCTTCTGGGTATGGCTGGGCTTGGTGCGGGAACTGCCCAGTTTAATGTAAAGCTCAGTTTTTTTGTTTGCTATTTAACGTCTGTAAGCAGCCTGAATGGGCCTAAACAACAGGGCTGTCGGGGAAAACAAGCTGAAAAGGAAACAGTGACTCAAGATAAGCCCTCCCACAGTAAACATGTCAGGTTGCTAGAGACAACGCCCAAACTATTAGGCTTCCTGATAGGACATGACTTCAGCTAAATTACAAAACTACTTCTAGCGCAAAGTACCAGTACTTCTAAAAACAATTAAATACATGACACTATTATATATGTATAACATATATAATAAAATATATGTATAAATATATGACACTATTATAATTCTAAATTACAGGAATTTGTTTCTAAACTTTTGCTTTGCCAAAACTATACTGTTTTGTAATTCTACATGCAAGAAATGTTGGTATTAATCTAAAACACTGCACATACGTGACATGGTCAGCTACAGCCGTTCTGCTATAGCCACATTTAGCAATTCTATACCTGCTTACAGCTGGGGTCTGTGAACTTGCATCTTCCTTAATATCCAGACCAGCAAAAAGAAGATTATGGCACCTAACTCCTTGCTGGGGATCATCTTCTTTCAAATCAAACACTACTGACCAGCTCTCTCTGCCTGGGCTGGAGCAGGAAAAAAAGAAATACTTACTATATGGGATTTTAAATGTAGGTATTTGTTCTTGTTAATCTCAATATATCAAGAGCCTATCACGTTTTTATAGGATGTTTTTGGAAAGAAAAATAAATCAACTCCTTCCTGCTAAACTCAGTTTGTACAGGTCAAATTCTGCTTGAATAAATAGTGGAGTAACTCTACTGGAGTAACACAGACAGCACAGAATATGGCCAACTCTATTGTTACATGCTCAGAATAGACCCAACATCAAAAGCCACAAGGAGGTCAAGCTAGCTCTATACCACAAACTTTCAATTTTAGGTAGCTGTGATCTTAAACACACTGCTCCATATGGGCTACCTCTGGAACCAGTAGCAATGTAGGTCTCTCCATTCATGTGATGATGCAAGCAAGCTAATTAATACTGCCATTCAAGAGGGGTAATTAGCCCATACACAGTGCCATATGAACACAACTACATTGCTTCTGGGTCAAATGGTAGCCTGCACAAAGAGCTGTATGTGTTCAAGGGTACCACTCCCTGGTATGACTGAGTTACCTAGTACAGACCTGCCCATGTTAAATCAGATTACTTAGCAACAGTTTGCTCCTCTGATTGGCAATAATTGTCATGCACCAAAGAGCAAAAGGACAAAAGTTAAAGTTTAGTTGTAAAAAATTCTGATATAGTGGAAAAATTCTACACATTTCTGACTAACACAGAGGCCAGATGCCATCAGAAAAAATCTAAGGGCATTTCTAGATGACACTTTTTAGCTGGTTTAAAGCAGGTTAAATGCCTTTTGCACCACTTTAATGGTATTGCTGTATGCACATTCAGCAGCGTACTGCACATTAATTCTAGCCACTGTAACACATTCGGAGGCATAATGCACCTTAAATGACTTTGGGATGCAGCAAATGACTTTGGGGTGCTGCAAAGTAAAACACCTCTGAGGAATTTTGGTTTCTTAACCTAAAGCTGCAGAGGGAAGCACCGGGCTCTGTGAGGCTCAGGGGCTGTGCAGACAGACCATGCAGGCAGCCCAGCAGCAGCCTGGGAAGGCAGGCTTCACAAAAAGATCTCCCTACCCGGACCTGACCTGAGCTGTGAGGGGGCCTGGTGCTCCCATCCGCAGCTGCAGCGCTCCCCAGGACTGCCCAAGCTGGGTGCCTGCGGGCAGGTGCTGCCTGGGGGGGGCACGGGGGCACCACTGCCATGGAGGGAAGCACGAGCCCCTCCCTCCCCGCACAGCACAGGGACTGCTCTGCCCCCCAGCAGCTCACTCTCCCTTCCCTGCTGCTGCAGAGGCAGGTAAGGATTGGGCTCCAACACAGGTGTCCACAACACGGGGGTTTACTTTGCCTTAAATTGACGCGGTGTTTTAAAAAAACCCCACTGCTTCAATTTAGGGAGAATTAAACCCCCATGTCGTGTACAAATGCCCCAAGTCCCCCTATTCCTTCACAATAGTACAGACAAGCCTAAAGCCTGGCTGCAATGGGTTTCACACCTGAATGGCTGGAACAACTTGTAAGAATTTGGATTTATTGAGAAATAAGAACATTTTCCTATTTCCCTACCTAGCTGTAGCCCCATATCTGAGGAAAGCCTCATCCTGTGACTTTTTTGTGGGAAACTTCCCCAGATTTTGAGGACTACGATGAAGTATGCTATTTTGGTAAACTCAAGTCTCTTCCCTCTAACAGATTCATAGCCATTTGTGTCACTTCTCTTATTAATTCTATCCTCTCAACGACAAAAATAGATAGAGATGATGTGGCCCTAAATGAAAGCAGTTTAAAGCACAAATGGAAACCATTTTGACAAGGGTCAGTAAAAATTCTCTAATCTCAATGTTCCTCCCCCTCTTTTTTAACCCATTTTGGGGTTGGTTATATATTTTAAATTTCAAAATTCTGGTGAAGTTCTGTTCTAAAATGTGGTGGGGAGTATATAATGGAAAATATTAAGAAAATCCTTTTATTTCCGCAGAGCTCCTAAACAAGGTCCTAATGATTTAGTGCTCCTGAGTTTCTCACACTGTAAAGGCTACATTCCACTGTTGATTTATGGAGCGATTTAAAACTTTTCAATATATCAACAGCTGCTATGTGAAACACTTCCCACTTCAAGGAAACACCTGGGGATCTCAAGCTTTTGCAAATATTTAATGCATTAAGTCCTTCAACATCCAAATATTACTACTTCCATTTTACAAATATCTAAAATGAGGTGCAAAGAGTTTAAGAGCCTCTCCCAGGGTCAGCCACATGAGTCAGTATTAGATTCATAATAAAAGCCTGATTGCCCAGGTTTTTTCCCCATGTTTCTATCACAGATCCATCCCCTTCCAATATTTTAATGTTCCTGTGATGAATTAAAATGGCTCTTACATATGGATCTCACAGGAATTTTTCCACATGTGATTCTTAAAGCAAAATGCTAAAATTTCTGACAACCCAAGTGCTTTCTGATAAAGGAATAGAGGAAATATATTTCAGAAATATTCTTTTGAGCTAGGAAAAAAGCAGCAGGATATCAAGGATGACCTACATGAGAAGGTCTCAGAAGGTCATAGGAATTAACTGTGTTACAGATATTGGGAGCAAGTTTATCTCAGTAAAAAGATGTGCGAGAACAGCGGAGTTGTAGTTTCAAATACATGCTTCTCATTTTACACAGTAGCCTTACAAAAGGGGGGTGACTGGGGTACCATCCCTGGTTACCCACTTAGAGGCAATGCAAGAACAGCAGCCACCGCTACTGCCAGCCCATCTCTTGCTGTTGCCACACAGGGTGCAGACTGTGGTAGTCCCACCTAATTTTACAGGAGTATAGCAATAGATAACTGTAGAAATGTTGCTATGTTAAAATCAGGGCTATCTATCTAGTGCCAGCCCTGCTAGTTTATATCTATTTCTTCTTGCATTTTCTCCTTTCTGCTAATGTATATCCCTCTGTGTATTAGAGATTAAAGTGACAGGTCAGAAAGTATCACTGTCACAAACAGTAATTTACAACATGTTTCAAGTAATTTACAAGAAATTTAAATTTTCATTAGTTTTGATAGCCTGGTTACACATCCTCCAATAAACATACAGTATAATGATTACACAAGCATACACTGTCTAGGGAAACTAAATCTATGTAGCTGCATATGGCAGCTGGAATAGAGAAGAGAACATGTGCCTCTGAAATTCTCTTCCTCCTCTTCAAGTTTACATCACCGATCCAAATTTAATTCTTTTAAACTAGCATCAGTGATATCTGGGGCTTAACTGATTTGAAGAGGCAAACAAGGTCACACACTGAAAGATGAGAGGAACTTAAACCAAGCAAGTACATGTTTTCAAGTACAAACCTGGTCTAAGATATTAAAGTGATTCCCTATGAAAAACAATCATTCCTGCATCTTTATAAATAAAATGCATCATCAGTTTAACGTTGTTTTCAATATAACCACCTCCCTCCCCCTGAGAATTGGTCCCACAGGAACTATATCTACTTATTTATTCAATTAAACTTTTTTGAAGGAAGCCTTCTTATGAAAATCATTTTTGACTGAAGATGGTCTACTTGGTCTGTTTGCCAATTTTGTATTTGCCTGATACCCTGAGGCAGATACTGAATAAATGAGGAACGTGGGACTGAAAGAACTCCCCTTAACTCATCATGTCCAGTTTCCTGCAGGTGCAGGAAGCCATACAGTACAATTCTGCTAATGAACCTTATCAGCTGTGACATGGAACTACTTTGGTTGGTTTCCCCTCTACACCCGTTAGACAGTTGCTCAGGAACTGCACATATTTGACGGTTCAATACATGTTCCAATTTCCAGCCTAAATTTATTCATAGATGTGGTAGAAGCCGCAGACACTTTCAGACTTAGTTCTCTCCAGCGTAGACACTAAAAACCCTGTATAGATGCGCTTATCAAAAGAACGAACTACAATTCAAAAAACTGTATATCAAAGTATGACAAATCAGTGGAAACATAATGCTTTCAGTGCAACAAATGCAACAGCAGCAATAAAACAGGAGCCAAAAAAATATTAAAAACTTCTCTCTCAGGGAGCAGGCAGTGATGGCCCTACCACCAGTCTTTGCACAGGGCCATAAAAAACATTTTTGGTCAGGCAGAGGCACCCAGACCATCAATGGTGGTGGTTACTAATTTTGTGCCCTCTCTAAGTGGGGCCCAGGGGTTGTGCCCCAGTCACCCTCCCCTATTTACACTACTGTCTGCGCTTGTGAGAATTTCAATCCAACCTGCAGGTAGACATAAGCAGTTTGGCTTTTCACGCAATTTTTATTGTTATTTTTAAATTGCTATGGGTATTATTTTAAAAAAGAGAGGAATTAAATGTCCTGGATAATTTGGGATAGTGCCATACTTCAAATGTTGGAATTCTGTACTTAGCTTTTGCTGAGTGTTGGTCAGGAACCAGCTGGGAAATTTGTAACAGAGTTTGAATTTCTAAAGCGGGGGCTCTGTTAAATTATGTTTGCCACCACCTGACTTTTGTAAATTGATTGCAATTCATTAGTGCCTTATTAAGCTAAATGCAAGTTCAGACAGAATGTATTATCGAACATGTTAGAAGTATTTTTTGACAATTTTGTTTGACCAGATTCTATACCAAATAAACAAACAAACAAAAAACCCAAAAAACCAAGAAAAAGTAAGTTCCAATTTTACATCTGGAAATACCTCCCAAAATGAAGTTACTAATATGCTCTGAAAGTACTGTATCTTGAGTGAGACCAAATTATTCATAAAACTCTCACGTGTTGCGCTGGGCTAATAATAGGAACCATATGCAAGAAGACTGAGAATGATTCCACTGGTGGTACTGGGCTACAGAGAGCAGGGCAGGTTGCCACTAATAGACTGGCTATGCTTGCTGACTAAACTACACCACATCCATCCATACCATAAGCTGCCAAGAGCCTGCAGAGCATTTCCTCTCTAAGCTTTCCGCAGTACAAGAACCTGAGTGCTGTCCAGTGCTATCATTGCTAACTATGTTCTTGCACATTTATACTTTACCATTCAGAAGTTGACCCAAAGATTTGATCTGAACTATATAACCTTGGAAATAAGCAAGAACTTTGCAATAAATAAATAAGCCTCAACAGGTAAGACTTATCATCACCTACTAAAATCCACTCCATAAGAAGAAAGCCTCAGAATAGCATTTTAGAAAGAGCACCAAGGACTGTATTTCAAATATAGTTCTCGGGATAAAATAGCAGTGATTAAAAGGAGATATCCTAACATGATACCTGTATAAGAACATAAAATGAATTACAATAAAATGTAATACATCTAGTATGAAAATAATGACCCTATCTTTCTGTTTTGTGTAAACAAGTTTAAAAAAAATCAGTATTTCCTCCTTTTAAAGAGGTTTTTAGTTAAAAAGTTAAAAAACAAAACATTGCTGAGACAGAGAAAATGAACTATAGATGCAAACGAGGTACAAACAGGGGAAGGTCTGTGCATATTCTATAGTGTTTCATTACTGTTCAGAACATGCAGTCAAAAGGTGGGTGAGGTTACTGAAGGTGCCGTGTAAATACAACTGCAAAAATCCTAGCTACTTATCAGTAAATCACTGTCACTGCTTATGAATTATATGTACTATTCATATCCTGACTCATGCTTGTGATTTGTAAAAGAATGAAACCCTGTTGAAATCAAGCTGTTATTAAACAGGCAGTCCATTGTAGCAGCTGAAGACTGTGCTGACATCAGAAAGTAAAATCTGAATTCTCTTTACATGGCATTACTGCCTCAGAGAAAGCAGCCCCCTCTGTGTCATTCAATGAATTTCAGATCATGTTACCTTCTGCCACCCTGAATAGCACTGAATAGTAATCTCAGTTCCTCAAGTAGTCCCATTGATTTCATTGGGACTATGAAATACCATGGTATTGGCCCTAAATTGTTTAAAATATTTTGAAATACCATGTTTCCCAAACTCTTAGTCCTTGCTCAGAGCCATATCTTAACACCTTATATGTATTTCTCAATCTTCTTGCATCTCAGACAAGGATTTAATAATATGAACAAAGAGTAAAGAAAATTTAGGTCAATAGTTATTATAAACAGCTAGAGAGGACTTATTTACAATTATGTAGTTAAAGAGAAAGACAGCTTGGTGAATAAAAGCCACTTTTTGACATGTGTTATTGTGCAAACCACATCATCATCCATCAGTAAGAGTTTAAAAATTGATTGCACATTAACATACTTTATTAAACACACACACACACGCCAAATCTCACAAGTAGAAGAGCTTAAGTTACATCCTACATATAAACCTTAAGTAGAAAGTTTGTTCCCTACCTTGAACACCCTGTAATCAATGGGGAGACATCAGCAGCCAGCGGTGCAGCAGTATCAGGTAAGAAATTCAAGGCGTCTTGACCACCAGATTTTTCTGCACTCTTCTTTTTCCGATGTTTCTTTTTTACGTCCTGACCATTACCAGGAGGTTGGCCTGATTCTGGAGTCGAAGTAGAAGAAATGCTCTGAAACAAAAAGGAACAATATAAACAGTTAATGACATGTTCAGATCACAGCAGATTTTGGAGAGGATTATATTGCTTATACTATTTCATCCACTGACAAAAACTTGAGTTAGTAGCAGAATTCACTGACCAGTAGAATTCATAGATTCCAAACCTAAGCCATTTTCTTTTCCAAACTAGGTACTGAACAGAGAGAAATAGTAGAGCCAAAAATAAATATAAGAAAAAGAACACAGAAGAATGCAGCAACTGTTCTAAAGTGCTGCTCAGGGCCTTATCTGGCCCAAAGAGGGTATCATCTTCCCTTTTTTCCAAGTCCAGCAAATGCTTCCTTGTGCTAAATAAATTTGCAAGGACCAGAGAGAAAAGCTCTAAACTTTTTAGCCACTATGGTGGCAATATTTTTGGAAGCAAAATCCAATTCTAAAACAACTCTGGAAGTACTGATTTCTCATAGAAAGCCTTTCAAGTCAGTCTCTACGAAGTGCCAGGCATTTCCCCCTAAAGGAGCTCTGCTTCTTTTTGTTTCCTTTTTTTGACAGAGAAGTATCCAACCTTTAATATTTGCACCCCTGCAGAGACAAAGAAAAAGCTGTTGGATACCTGGGTCAGTGTCTTTTCATACCCTGAGCGGAGACCTGCTGTGTTATCATAAAGACGCTCTAGTGCTGTTCTCTGTATGTTTGCTGGCAAGACAATTCTGGACACACTGATAAAACACAGAGCATTACACCTGGCTGCATCTTCAGGGAGCAGTGAAAGGAATTTGAATGATGGGTCCTGCGTGAAATTTGCTGACCATTCTTATTACCAAAGTGAGGCCCAGTGTTGCCTTGCCTGTGAGCAATGGGGAAGCAAGAAGAGTAAACCACATTACTGATGATTCAGTGCCTAGAGACTTAGTCCATGAAGACCAACAGCGATGACTAGAACATTAATGCACAACTTTACATATCAGCCAGCATT